TCAATTAAAATCAAGGTGGAATCTTTGTAGGACATGTGGGCCTACATTTCATGACATTTAACTCAGTGTAAATTCTGGCAACTCGTGGAATATGCCCCTGGTATCAAAGCTGTAACAACTGCATGTTAAATGTTTTACTTGGTTCACGAGCTGGGTGGAGAGTGGGGACTTTGCTGATTGTAAAATTGGTACTTCTTTATAAAGAAAACTTCGTGCAGGCTTCGTAGGTTTGCCAGAGACACTTCCAATGGATTTACACCAACGTCTCCTTTGGGACGGTGGATGCCAAAAGATGTTGTAGGCTATACGTTTAAATTAAAGGAAATACGAAACAACAAGGGATGCTGTCAGAGCAAGTTTCCGAAACAGAACGATATCTGATACCAAGACCTAAAAGGGGGTCCTTAAAAGTTCACGTGGTGCCCTTAAAAGTTTACGCACCGGTTGCAGAGTTCATTTGCAGGCATGGCTCAGCTTAACACATTTTCTTTTAAACTCTTGAAGAATTATCGCAATAGTCTTTTTGTAGGAGAATGGTCCTAAAAATTATTGATGATTTGTGTCAAGGGTATGAGAATCACTGTTTTTAGTATGGACGCTGCTTGGGTCCATGAGTTGTGTCATGAGTGTTATTATTGTGTCTGAATGATCATTGGATGACAGGAATAGAAGAATAAACAAGTGTGTGGATGTAAGGCGCGAGACAGAGTGAGTGAGTGAAGTAAGAGAGGGTTAAGGTCATAGTCATGAGACGTTGGTGAGTGATGGCTCCTGTGTTTTTGATAGACTGTGTAATTATAAAGAGATACTGTAACAAGGTGAATCTGCTTGACAGATGCACCTTCATATTCAGTCATAAAGTGTTTGTGTTCCACTATTCCGTGTGCATGGGTTTACTTTGATAGACAGTGTTGTAGAGTGCCTGGGTATTGGTTGGCAGGTAGTGTTGTAGAGTGCCTGGGTATTGGTTGGCTGGTAGTGTTGTAGAGTGCCTGGGTATTGGTTGGCTGGTAGTGTTGTAGAGTGCCTGGGTATTGGTTGGCAGGCAGTGTTGTAGAGTGCCTGGGTATTGGTTGGCAGGCAGTGTTGTAGAGTGCCTGGGTATTGGTTGGCTGGTAGTGTTGTAGAGTGCCATCGGCAAACGTTGGCAGAAAATACTCGAAGATGATGGACTCGATTATTTCAACGATAAAATAAAATACAATGATCATTATCATCTTATATTCAATGCAAATAACATATTTATGATGAGATAATCTTTTCTGAAACTCTCATGTTATATTTATAATGAAATAATCTTACATTAAACCCGAATAGTGCAATCAGTAACATCTCAGAGGTCTGTCCTAACATGATCAGAATTTGGGTCAGCACATGTGAGATCATAATTTCAATAGCTGACACACCTGTTGATAGGAGTAAGTGGCTTAGTATGCGTAGTCTTGGTGGACCCATTTTCCCAAGTACACAATGCCCCCCCTCCCCCCCAAAAAAGAAAAAAAAAACTCCCAATTGTGTTTTTTAAAATCGTTTTCAAATTACTGTACCATATTTTATTTGTTTAATTTCCACATTATCCCCATATATCTCAAATTATAATATTTTTTAATATTTACTTCTAATTCACAGTTCACACGATCAATTTTTTTTGTATATCTATTTTTTTTAACGCACTATTTTGTTTAACTAAATAGTGCGTTCAAAAAAAAATTTGACCAAAATCTTACGCAATTTGGAGAAAATTTGATGGTGTGAAGTGAGCATAGAAGGCCTGTCATCATTTCCCCAATGTAATAGTTTCCCAAATATTAGTGCCCCAAATTTCATCGCTTTCAATAATATCATTGTTTGCCCATATGTCATAATTTTCCTTAAATGTCATGAATACTGTTTTCGTCTTTAAATCTCACCAGTTACAAACAATCTCTCCATGACACCTTCTTTCCGGTCTATAACAAACGCCAGTGACGTCAGACCAGTGGCGAAGAAAAACGTGGCACTGTAAAAGTAAACGTTTTTTTAAAAAATAATTCCTTAAGTCAGACGTGCAGCTTAGAATATATTATAGGCTTGAATGTTTTGTTTTGAGGATGGGTGGCAGGAGGCCCGGATGAACCATTATGCAAAATAATTGCGTACTTTTAGGCTGATAAGTAGATAAGTGCTGATAAGCCAGCGGTAATTCTCTAGCAGTGTAACACTTTCACTGACTATGTTTCTTATAAATGATTTGTTGTGACGGTGGTCGAGACCGTTCCACTGTTGATGAGGGATGTGAAAACAAAATAAATGAGAGCAACACCCAGGTCAAATTTGGCAACAGAATGTATGAGGGGGGGGGACGCAGGAGGAGAGCTAGGCCTACTGGTTACTACTTGCATGTTAAGATAAATGTGCGTGTCTGCATTGTCACTGATTAGCCTATACACGGTTGAGAGGCGTAGCGTTAGCAATGAGAAACAGCTCCCCTTTCTACCGTTCTCTTTCAAGGTTTTGTCTCTCTTTCTGCATCTCATCGTCTCCCTCTCTCGCTCTCACTCCCTGCTCTGTCCCTCGGCCTCACTGCTCCTCCTCTCTATCTCTCCCTCTCTTTCTCTCACTCCCTGCTCTGTCCCTCGGCCTCACTGCTCCTCCTCTCTATCTCTCTTTCTCTCGCTCTCACTCCCTGCTCTGTCCCTCGGCCTCACTGCTCCTCCTCTCTATCTCTCCCTCTCTTTCTCTCGCTCAAGCTCCGTCCAACCAAGTACAATATAATAGCCTTACTTTAGTGCGAATACTCTGCTGCAAACACTCGAGAGGTAAATTTATTAAAAGAGGAGCACAAGAGTAAATATAAAACGAAGATAAAATTTAGAAAATGTAAAACGAAGTGGATATCGAGCGTCGGTGGTGTAAAGGTTAGCATGGTTGCCTTCCAAGCAGTCGATCCGGGTTCGATTCCCGGCTGACGCATGATACTTTTTGTAGAATATTTTCGAAAAAGTCACTAATACCGGAATTATCAGAACCTACATTTCTTTTTTAAAATTTTACACAAAATATTTAACGGATTAATAGTATAACAAGTTAAATAATGAAGATCTGTATATATAGAATTATAGATATATTTTTAAAACAAAATCTAACATTATGACTATAGCAGGTGATCCTTACTTGTTAATATGAGAAATTGAAATATAGAAAGAAAACTTCGAGTATGTTTAAAACATGTTGGATCACCTCAGCGATAGTGACTTAGAATGTCTATTGGTAGTGACTTAGAATGTCTATTGGTAGTGACTTAGAATGTCTATTGGTAGTGACTTAGAATGTCTATTGGTAGTGACTTAGAATGTCTATTGGTAGTGACTTAGAATGTCTATTGGTAGTGACTTAGAATGTCTATTGGTAGTGACTTAGAATGTCTATTGG